CAGTGCCTCAAGTGGTGGTCCGGTAGAAGTCTTAGCCTTAGGTGGTGGCCTGGTGAAGCACAGGGCCTCAAGCGGTGGTCTGGTGGAAGTCCGGGCCTCAGGTGATGGCATGGTGGAGCACAGAGCCTTAAGTGGTGGTCCGAAAGAAGTCTGGGCCTCAGGCGGTGTCCTAGTGGAGCACAAGGCCCTAAGTGGTGGTCCGGCGGAGCAACGACGTCAGGCGGTGGTCCAGTGGAGGTAAGGCCTCAAGTGGTGGTCCGACAAAACAACAGCGTCAGGTGGTGGTCTGGCGGAGCAACAACATCAGGCGGTGGTTCGGAGGAGGTGAGGGCCTCAAGTGGTGGTCCGGTGGAGCAACGACGTCAGGCGGTGGTCCGTCAAAGGTGAGGGCCTTAAGTGGTGGTCCGGTGGAGCAACGACGTCAGGCGGTGGTCCGACGAAGTTGAGTGCCTCAAGTGGTGGTCTGGCGGAGCAACGACGTTAAGCGGTGGTCCGGCCGAGTAACTGAGTTAGGCAGTGGTCCTGCGGATGTGAGGGCCTCAAGTGGTGGTCCGACAGAGGTGAGGGCCTCAAGTGGTGGTCCGGCGGAAGTCCAGCGGTGGTAGAGGAGGAGCTTATTCCTTCTCTTCCTTCTCTTCTTCCTTCTTCTCTACTTGCTTCCTCCCCCTCTCAAGATAAATGAGGGGTATATTTATAGATTTTCTAGAGTGGCATGGCCCGTAAATAGGTGAGAGATCAAGGGTAAATGGAGAATGGTTGGATGGATGGCTGGTATTGAATCCCTTGATCATGCACCGTTCGTCAGACATTTGAAGACCTTAATAATGTTGGAATTCAGAGATCTTGGGCTCGTTGGATTTGTCTTGTTGAGCCGCTCGATTCAACTATAAGCATGTAATGTTTGGAAACCATTTGGCAATCCAAATTGTGGTTCAAACCTTCCAACAGCGCTTCTAGTCCTTGATTTGGACTCATTTGAACTTGGATTGAGTTGATTTTGGTGTCGTTGGGTTTGTATTTCCGAGACGCTCGGTTCGACTATAAGTTTACTGAAATCGGAGTTGAAATGTTCTCCGAATTAATTTTTGAAATTTCCAACTTGATTTTGCCTCAAGATTCGTGCCCGATCAAAGATAATTTTTTTGATGATATATCATAAATAAATCACAAAATGTTACGCCGATAGCCCACAAGCACAACAACCGTGTAAAATTTTATGATTATTGAATTTTACCAGTTTATCAAAGTTTGTTCAGAAATTTATTTTGAAGTTTTCAATGTTCTACGACTTTTTTTTTAGATGTTAGGATTATTTTTAATTTGCTAAAAATAATACACTTTTTAGTTTACCTAATAAATATTTCTAAAGAAAATACCAAAATGTCTGTAGTACTCATATATATCACATATAAAAAGTTAGACAATAAATGTTTAACTTATGTGCACTTATCTCCATTTTTATGACCTGAATTTATAAGTTTAATAAAAAAAAATCTCAAAATTACCGCAATACCTCCTTCCCGGAAAATAGTCACTACCCCACCAAAGACTTTCTTGCAACCCTTATGTCTCCATCTCTCGAGTCGAGCTCAATCTCTAGCAAGTAGCCTTCTTTGAGTTTTTTTCTTCTCCACTTAATAACTAGCTAAAGCTGTTATTGATAAGGGAAGATACCTTTTTTTGTTGAAGAATTCCATCAATGTATGGCTAAGGGAAGCTAATTGACTTTGATGAAATTGGAGTTGGACGTGAAGAATGCCTTTCAAAAGCGTAAGGGAAGGGAGGATAGGATTCACAATTAGGCAGCATCCTCCAATTCCATCTTTTATCATAGGAATCCTAACTTGATATGCAAGCTCAAGAAAGCAATTCGCCTTACGGACTCCAACAAGCTAAAGCATGATATGATTGAAGTATGTAGGGACAGAAGTAGCTGCTTAGATCTTAGGTAATGTAAGTGGTCTTGATTTGCGAGGGGTACAAAAAAGCTAAGATAGGCAAAGTGTTACATACCTCAATCAAAATACTTTTTCGTACTTAACCGATAGCATAAAAAAGATCAAAGCCACCCTAATTTGACTTTCTCTCTAATATATCTCCCTCTCTCTAGGTCGCATCTCACCTGGGAGATTTTGATATTTTTTTATAAAAGTTTGACCAAGCGCCACGGCGCCACAGCACCACGGCTTTGCCTTAGATACTAAACTTAAGAGCTTTGTACAACATGTCTCACAAACCTATCACCGTAGCGCTCTCAAGAAAAAATTATTTCATATTTTTTGTTTTTGTACACACGGACTTTCGAGATATACTTTAGAATAGATTTTAGACATTTATATGCACACATAACACTCACATATACATGCAAGAGACAGATGGATCAACATTATTGAGCTAGAACATGTGCAACTGAACACTATATCAGTGGGTATTACATGATGGGTGGTGGACAATGATGGTGAATGTTAGGTGACAACTAGTGAACTAGGCTTCGATAGTAGAGACAATAACTGATAGTGATAATAGCTTAACTGATTTGCGAGGTATCGACTATGATGGCCAGTGATGACAAATGGGGGGCAAGTGGGTGATTGGTCGGCATTGTAATAGTGGCTGGTGATGACAATGGTGATAGGTGATGGTTGGCGATGGGGGGTGGTGGTTGGCGAAGCTTTACCCACATGCTCGAAATGGGGTGAATTTCAAATACAATGAAAATATCCCATATAGGAAAAACTAATTTAATTACCTAAAAATTTACTTTGCATTTGCTTGTCTTTCTAAGCCTTTTTATTTTATTTACTCAACACTTCTAATATTTAAAATCAAACATCCGCTAGTTATAACTTGTCGAATATCAAACAAATTACATGACAATCATAACTAAAAATAAATAAAATTTCTCAAATCAAGATCATTGAAATTTGAATTGTTGGGCTAATTCCCATAAAATCTAAATGACTCTTATTTTTTTGTAAGCTTTTATTGTGGTTGAAAAAGTATCATTGAATTTGTAGCAATCATCTAAATAAGATATATAATTATACCAAATGCTCATTTAGTTGTGATAGTTTATAAAAATGAGGGACGGTAACAAAGTTGAAGACTAATAAGTATTTGTTTTTATTTAAATAATTGTAATATATCTTCGTAAATTTAATATAATTAATATAAATATAAATTTAACGTATATAAATTAGATTATATGAAATTCATATTTATTTAAATTGTTTCATTAATATATCACATTATAATTTTTAAAAAACATGCATTATAATGCAATATCTAATAAGTATATCTTCTTCGGTCAAATAAAACTTTGGCCTTCCGATGGGCAAATTATTGCGTCCAGTGTTCGGATTCGTTCGGACACCAATCCAGACGCGCCACATCAGCAAAATATACTGGGCCCTGATGTATTTGAGTGATATGGCGCATTCGGATTGGTTGTCCGGATGTCAGGTGACCGGATGCAATAATTCGCCCTTCCGTTGACCTTGTTAAGAGGGTAAAAGTATTAATTAGATCCGGACTATATTAAAAAGTAAAGCTAAGAAGTATATATTAAAAATGATTTTTTCTAATAGATTTAATGAGGATTTCACTCTTAATATTTTATAATGGAGAAAAATGATTTATGTAGCCGGCTTCACATAATGGGATAAAGACTTATTATTGTTGTAATAATTAAATTTTTTTTGAATGATCATAATATGATATTAAAAATTAAGATAATTTTTTAGTATACATTATAATAATTTTGAATGAATTGTTTGAACGTTATTTATATTACACATAAAATTAAAAAAAGCTCCAGAAAATCTAAATCCGGAAGCTGAAGGCGTCAATGAACAAGATAGAGAGTTATATTGTCGAAGTTCGTTTATTTCTTTTTTTATCGAGTTTGAGTTAAGCTTAAACACGATATGAATTTCAAAATCTTGTTAAGCCTTTTTTATTAATGTTTTTATGGGCTTCGAGCTTAAATTAAGCTTTAATCAAGTTTAACTATAATAATTTAGATATATAGCCTAGTTACCAAACATAATTGAATTTTAATAATGAATTGATATAATTTATTAGTGCTTTTTAAATTGTTTGCTAAAATTTAAATAATAATAAGAAAATATTTAAATTTATCTTCTAATAATTTATTTAAAATCTCTCACATACACACACACTTATAAAAAATGACATACTTATATTGAATAAATTATCATATAAAAAGTTATATCATCATTAAACGAGCATTATATCATATTTTTTAAGCGTATATATTAAATAATCAATAACTATATCAATAAGTATAAGTGTATAACAACAACAATATCATTAAGTTTTTATTTTACTATAAGATATCGGCCGCATGAATCATTTTTTCCATTATATTTTAATAAGAGTGATTTTTATTTAAATTTAATAATTTTTTTAATCCTTTCTAATCAAGTCTTTTCAGCTTACCTCTATCTTTATTAACATGCCTTGTATTTGATCTACTCTCCAAACGGATCATTAGAAATATAATATTTTATGTGGTATCAATGAGTATAAATAAATAAAAAAGTAATATTAACTTTTATTTATTTATATAATTATATTCAAACTTTTGAAATTTTATTCATTTATATTCAATTGTATAAATAACGAATCCAAGTAAATAATATGTGAACATCCAATTATTCAATAGGGCACTTACTCGTTCATGACTGAGACAGGCACATGATCGTGTGGTAAATAGACTATCACATAAGCGGAAATTATTAGGTCCGATCGCCGGACCTAAAAATAAGTTTGGACATCCAATTAAAACTTGTCATGTGGACTACGATTTGACTTGCTTTACCTATGCTTTGACTGTGTTTTTTTACTGCACTTTAACTGCGTTTTACCTGCGCTTTTAAAACGCTTGACTTAAAATTCTAAGAATATATGTATATTTCACATGTCAATATTTATGAGGATGTATCTCTAAATCCAATGAGGGGACCTAATAATTTTCTCACATAAGATATCACGTGCGGTAATTTTTTGCGGGACTATATATATGGTAATTCTTTTCGGCGCCTTTAGTTCTTGGGCATCGAAAAGAAGCCCGAATTCCTTCGAATTAGGGTTCGTACTATCGTTTCTTTGCCGATTTCCTCTTCGCTACCTCCGGGTTCGGCTCAAACTTCTCTATCTCGTCCTGTTCTTCTTAGATGTTTAGCTTGTTTCTTTCCTGTTTTCTATTTTGATTGTTTCATTACAAAGCATAGATCTAGTATGTTGTCACTCGCCGCTTTCTAGGCACTTTTTCATTTGTTTTGGTCGAACGTTCTTACCTAGAAATCCCTAGCGAATTACCGTGTCGCATTTCTTCTTATCCATTCAGACGGTACAAATGCGGTCAGTAGATGGTAGCTAATTCTTGTTTTTTTGTTGGATATAAGTCGGTTGGAACAGGAATTTTGAAACGATACTTCCTTATATGGCATTATATATGTATGAAGTAAGCTTTGCTGGTTTTTTTGTGTTGAATTACATTTTTTTTAATGCATTGTAACAAATTAGTTAGCCTCAAGTCATAATCTGACGTTACTTGGCATTACCCATAAATTTTCAAATTTACTGCTGGAATAAGAAACGTGGGTTTGCTTTCCTTTTTAGACATTTTTATCCGGGCTAGGAGATTAAAAATCTTCCTCGACTTCTTTTGCTAATCTAATTTAGGCCTTCATTAACTTTATTGTATTCGTACAATCTCGCTGTTTTAGGTGTCTTGTATATCAATCTTTAGTGATACTTTGCTGTGCACAACTTTTAGAGCTTGTTTATTGTTCAAACTTGTTTGCGCTTTCTTCTTCAATCTTCTTCTTAATTGTCTTATTAAAAGTTGTCCAATGCCATCTCAAGAAATCAATTGCAAGCTAGACGACTCCCTTGCTGATACAAAAACAACCAAGCAAACATTTGCATAAAAGGAGAGTCAAGTTTCTCTTGCATCACCATCATATTCACTAAGGGCTTTGTTTTGTTGTAAATATTCATGATCATGGATTTAAGAACACAATGCAAAGTAGTGCAATGAGTTTTTTAATTTCTCAAAATTGTTTGGTAGATTGTAAAGTATACACATGGAAGTTGATTTTTTGGTTTGGTTTTGGCTACAAAGTAGAACCCTAATCCTGAAGTAGCAAATAAAAATGCAAAAATTATAAACCCTTAGTTAAAAAAATACGTCAAACTTTTGAAAATGAGATCAAATGATTTGTGGTCTTTGAGTTAAAATTTCAACCTTTCTTGTGAAAACTTGAAGATAACAAACATGATTATATCGCACTAACATTTTAGCCTCTAGTGAATCATCATTGACTTTGGTTGTGGAGCAAGCAAATGAACTTTAGAAGCAAAGAGATTATATAGGGAAGTAATAACAAAAGCCTCCACATCTTTTATTGCATGCTAAATCCCACTCTATCATTTTCATGAAAGAATCCCTTTAGGTTTTCTTCTTTCTCTAGACTGCTCCTCACATCTATTTCTCAGCATCCTACTCAAAACCTAGAAAGGACTCACTACTATTGTTCTTTTATTGTGGCCCTTCTTTGGTCCCATCAATGGTTTTCTTGAGAGCTTCGTCCTGCAACCTATCTTCCTTGGTGTCTTCTATCATGGGTTTGTTGGTTGTAGCCTCGCAGGCAATGCACATGAAAGAGATGCAGAGGGCCACAAGTGAGGACATGAATGAGGGGTCGAAGGCAAGGCACATGAAGATTTCATAATTCATTGAATGTGGGAGATTATCAAATGCATAAATAGGGGCTTTGATGTATTCAAAATTACATGTAACTTACTTTTCATCAGTTTTATTTCATTCCAAACACTTGAAAAATCACAATTCATATGTTTATTTTACTTTACACTCTAATATTTCAACCAAAAAACCCCAATAGATATCCATGTACTTCTTCAAATAGGATAGGGTGCGAGGTGACCATCAATAAAGCATTCATTGCCCAAGCACTGTAGGAAAGAATGGAAGATTGAGCATTTGATCGAGAGAGTGCATGGTTAGCTTTGACCCAAAATATCGATGAATGTATGAGATGAACACCTTTTTATTATATTTGAATGAATTGGTTTGAAACTTTTTGAGGTCATTCAATATCTTGTTTTAAAACTCATATCGTTCTTCTAATAGTTGGCGGAAAAGTGCAAGTGAGAAAATGACCATATTGTGATGGCTATGTAACTCATGTTTATGCTATGTTTGCTATATTTGCTTATTTTTGAAAGAATTCTATAGAAGACAGGTTTTTGATTTGAGGCCTTTTGGTGAAGCTAGGTCAATTTTGGGCCATCTAACCTTGCAATTATTCAAAAGGGTTAAGAAGCATATGTTCATGACAGAATATGTTTTCTTGGAGTACTCAACCCTCACACAAACCCATTGATTATTGCTAATCTCTCAAGGTAGTCTCTTAAAGGAAAGATATCTAATAAGGAGATAGGATCAAACTCTTTTTAACCTTTGATGAAGTTGTGCCTCAGCTAAAAAAAGTATAAAACTAAATTGTCGTTGAGAATGATTTTGTTGTTGATGTTATGTTTTTTCTCCAACAATATTGCATTTAACCTTAATCAACCTCTAATGAGAGAGAAAGCATAGATTTAGGACTAGAAGGTGAGTGGAGTCTGATTTCACTAGAGGCTTATTGTTTACTTGATTAGATTCATGTTGCTGGGAAGAAAAAAGAAGCTAAACTACAATTTATGAAAACTAAGGATTGATGGGCAAGCCTTTGGCTCTATTAGCTTTTCATATTAAAGACATTTTGTTGATTTTTCTTGGGCCTAAAGAAGCTTTGCATTTTTAGGTTTCTTGAAGAGGCTTATCATTTGATTAGATTCTTGTTGCAGGGAAGATCGAGAAGCTAAAATACAATTTTTGAAGAGCTATGGATTGATGCTTCTATTAGCATTCATATCTAGGATATTTTTGGTAATTTTCATTTAAAGTACAAACTAGAAAGAGAAGAATGTAGATTATGGAGCCTTTTCTTCGGTAGAAAGAAGCCTTGCATTTTTAGGTTTCCTGACAGGGGGACATTGAGCTTTATGATGGAGATGAAGATTCATGGCTTCATTCTTCATTTGACTTTACACTTTGGTAGTGGGATCATGATTGATATGTTATCTAAATTTGTTTTGTTAACATGTGCTTCTTTGGGTAATTAGTATCAATTTGTGTACACTTATGGTCTTCTTAGACTAGTTTGCCATTCCCCTATAAGGCTAGATTTGTTGATGTGATTTTTTTGTTGTATTTTAATTCAAAGCATAATTTATACTCCGCCAAAATGAATTATCTTTCATAACAATCTTTTTAACTTGTTTTCCTTCTTGTTTTTTGGCCAATGAACTTTTATCCCATTCTTCAGAAGCAAACATAGCTTCCAAAGGTTGTCTTAACTCCTTAAATCTTTGCAATGTTAAAAATGCAGTAGCAAATCTTATAACAACAGGTCTAATAATTTCTTTGTTAGTGAATTTTCTCATCAAGCTGAGTACTCAAGAATGATTGTAAAGAAACTTACTAACAAATTTGGCCTTCAACATAGCTGATTTATGCTGAGGCAATTGTCCTAACCTCTCAAGCATTAAATCAATACAATGTGCAGCACATGAAGTCCAGTAAAGGTGAAGCCTCTTCACCATTAACATTCTCCATGCAACTTTATATGCACTTGCATTATCAGTAACAACATGTACTACTAAAGCCTCTCCTACTTCCTCCACAACCCCATCCAACATTTCAAACAACAACTGTGCATTCTTTACAAAACTTGAATCATCCACTGATTTTAGAAAAACAGTACCATATGGATTGTTGACCAAGAAATTAATAATACTTCTATGTCGGATATCTGACCAACCATCTGACATAATTGTCACTCCTGTCTCACTCCAAGTCTTCTTAACATAATCCACCATTTTTGTAGTTCTCTTGACCTCATTCAGCATCCAAGTCCTCAACTCATGCATGCTTGGAAGTTGTAGCCCTGTTCCATAGCTTCCAACAGATCGTAACATATTAATCTATGACGGACTCTTAACAACATTAAATGGTATCCCATTTTCATAGATGAATCTGACAATATCTAAACAAATTTTGTTCCTGAGTTCTTTTGTAGCAGTAGGAGGCGGAATATCCTGAGTGTTTATGTTTTCCTCATCATCAATATTAATCATAAATTTATCAATGGGTCCCCCGAGTGCCTCGGTTATAAGAAAGTAGATGACTTCCACTATTGAAACCTTCATGCTGTGATCCATAGTAAGAAGAATTTGCTATCATCTCTTCCATATTTCTTTGTGTGATATCCTTCATGGTGGCAAACTTCTTTAAGTAATTCATTCATTCTTTTTTCACTTCATCAGGAACTTTTTGACACGGTCCTATATTGACATGAGTGCAGGCTAGTTGATCCTTCAACCTCTTAACACCACTAGTTATGTGCTTCTCACAAAAATTACATTTCATGTAAACATATGCCTTCTTCGCACCTTCGCTTGACACTTCAACTTGAGTACCATATTTCCATGCAGGATCTTTCCTTCTTGTGCCAGTAGTCATTATAATAATTGATAAAAATAATCAATTAACATAAAATATAAATTATAAACAATTAAAAATCTAATGTAATATAAATAATTACAAAACTATGAGAGCATGCTTTGACAGATTCATAAAAATCATGTATGAGTTGGATTTATAATCCCAGGAAAACAAACTATTTAATGCATACAATCAAAAAGGAAATCTCTAAACAGTCCCTACATTCAAATTTTCCTCCTAACTCCCTAAGAAATCCTTGCACTTGTAGCGGTTATCAAAGATGAACCTACATCACATCTATTCTCAAAAAGTCTTTATTGTGGCTAGAATTATAATTTTTTCTCAAATAACATTTTTTGTCTTGGTAGTTTAAAAAGTCGAATGTTACTTTTTAACAAAAAAATTTTCATCAATAACAATAAAAATTATAAAAGGTCATGAAACCAAACAAAATGGACAAATCTAGTCATACTCTATTTCCTAATCAATCATGACATCAAAATTAAGAGCTTTGAAGAAGAATCAATAATATGAAGGATCTTTAAATGAACTTTATTTTT